CCCCTGGATGAGAACCACTATGCTAGAGGCAAGTCTAACAAAATTAGCATATTGCCTTTTTAAATTTTTCCATTATCTCCACTTCTACACATTTTTCTTTAGAACTGGAAACACATGAGAGGCCCATCTGGTTATATGAATGGTCTGATTATTTTGTAGCTGCCCACACATGAGATCTAAGTGCCCTAAGTTCACACAGAAGGGACTAGAGAGTCCTGAAATGACCACTCATGGTAGGGACTGAAGGGGTGAGGTGGGAGTTGGGGGGTGGGGCATGGGAAGAAAAGGGTAAAAAGATTGATGAAACATCAGAAGGGAAAAAAGGAAGAAAGGGATCTATATTAGTTCCTTAGAGCTGCTGGAGCAATGTGCCTCAAAACTGAATGACTTAAAACAGAAATTTATTCTCTCTCAGTTAAGGAAGCTAAAAGTCCAAAATTAAGATGTTGTCAGGGTCATGCTCTCTCTGAAGATTCTAAGGGAGAAGGTGTTCCATGCAATCCCTTAGCTTCTGATGTTGCTGGCCTGGTGCTCCTTGGCTTGTAGATGCCTGACTCCATTCTCTGCTTCCGTTGTCACATGATATTTTCCCTGTATCTGTTTATCTTTCTCTCCTCCTCTTCTTATGAGGACACCAGTCATATTGGATTAGGGCCCAGTTTAAATGAAAATGACCTCATCTTAACTGGATTATATCTGCAAAGGCTGTTTCCAAATAAGGTCACATTCACAGGTACTGGGGATTAGTACTTCAGCATCTTTTGAGGGACATAATTCAACCTACAACAGAGTCCAAAGGGAAGCGATTTGTTCTCAAATGGTTCCAAAAGAAATAGCCATTAGGGAAGCTTCAAAAGCATTAATCAAAGACCCAGGCCCATTCAGGAAATGGGTAATGAATAGAAGTGAAGAAGATAATGCTGAAGCCTCATCTCATTGTGGTATCTCTAGGGGTTGAAAGATACAACTCAAGTTAGAGATTTTGTACTTTGTGACTTTCATGTATGTGTGACCAGCTAAAGGGAAGTTGATTAATGATAGACCATACCTTCTTCCTGTTCACTATTGGAGATGGCAGACTGAAGATGCATAGGGGGGGCGCCTGGGTGGCTCAGTTGGTTGAGCGTCTGCCTTCAGCTCAGATCATGATCCCAGGGTCCTGGGACCGCGTTGGGCTCCTTCTCAGTGGGGAGCCCGCTTCTCCCTTTGCCTGCTGCTCCATCTGCTTGTGCTCTCTCTCTGTCAAATAAATAAATCTTAAAAAAAAAAAGAAGATGCATAGGTAACAGATGGGTATTTAAATTAGAATATTTGAGGAGACTTAAAAATAAAACTATTACAAAGGTGTGGGAAGAGGGGCACCTGGGTGGCTCAGTTGGTTAAGCGACTGCCTTCGGCTCAGGTCATGATCCTGGAGTCCCGGGATCGAGTCCCACATCGGGCTCTCTGCTCGGCAGGGAGTCTGCTTCTCCCTCTGACCCTCTCATGCTCTCTCCGTCTCATTCTCTCTCTCAAATAAATAAATAAAATCTTTAAAAAAAAAAAAAAGGTGTGGGAAGACTATAAGGAGACCAAAAGGATTGTGTGGTAGTCTGCAGTTAGTAAGTAAATAGAGCTTTGTTACTATCACCTATAGACCTGACGGGGGAAGTGTTTATTTGAACAGAGAGAGAGAGACAGAAACTGAGAGAGAGAGAGAATACTTTGTGGAATTGGAAGCCTGATAGCAGACTTTGGTCAAGGGATACAGCTATCCCATGCACACCCTGCAGGGAGGCAGCCTGAGCTAATAAATATCCTGATCTCTTCCCTTCCTTCCCCTTTCAGTGCTACCCTATCTGTCAAACCCAACCAAATACCAGAGGGCAACCTGTTGATACGGTGCATATAGTTTAGTCTGCTACCCCTAGCTCCCCCATACTCCTGCACTCCCATCAAGCCAGTGTATAACAAATTTAAGAAGGCTGAAGAATGGATCTGAAAGTCCAAATGAAATATATCTAGAAAATATAAGAAATTTGTTAAAATATTTTTTCTCTATATTATTTTGTCTATTAAAAAGTAAAATTCAATTTTTATTAATCTGGCCATATTTCGACCTTTATATTTGAAGGGGATCTCCTGCTTGGTTAATGTATTTATTAATCCTTGAATAAAAACAAACAAAAAAATTCCACAGTGGATCAGACCAGTAGTAAATATATATATTTATTTGTGTCTGTTATGATTTTGGAAACAGATGACATTTTGTAGAAAAACATTGTAGCATTTTATGATGCCACTGACATATTTGGGGATGCATCTAAAATATGGACAAGATGATAACTAAGAGTCAGGAAACCTTAATTCTAGTTTTAGACTTACAGATAATTTGAGGAGGGATATTCATGTAAGTCACTTAATTCCTTTGTTTTCAGCTGTAAAATTAAGAAGTTTGGCATCTCTTCTAGCTAGACTATTTTATAGCCTCTAGTTTCCCTTATTTGGGGTTTATTATTATTAATGATCATTATCACATTCATCAATATATTTGTCTTGATTATATATTTTCCAAAAAAGAAAAAAAAATATAGCAATGAACAAAACCTTATCAATTTGTGAGATTGTAAAGAATGAGAAATGTAGCCATTTGCAGTTAGCAGTTTCACAGAGAATTTGAATGATTCATGATAAGGAGACAAATGTATTCCAAAATCTCAACTGTTTAGATGGCTCAAGCTTTTTCTGACCTCAGAACCCTGAAACATGCTATTTTCTCTTCAGGAAAGATTTCTAGCCTGGCTAACTTGTACCCTTCCCTTAGGTCACAACACAGCTGTCAATCAAAGAAGCTTTCCTTAATCCTTCTCACCCCTTTCCTCCTCTTATTTTTATTCTTAGAATCTATTTCTTTTCAGTTAGTGCCCTATACATAATTTGTAGTTATATATTTATTTGTACAATTTTTGTTTCTTTGTTTGCCTTCTATCTTTTCTATTTGACTGTAAATCCCTGGGTGTAGAGATCATATCTGGATTTATTTTAAATCTTTCTCCCCAGTCCTTATCACAGTGCCTTGCCCAAATGAACTAACCAGTTTTCAAATAGTCAAATGAATAAATTTATCTATATTGTCACTGGACCTGCAATTACTATATCATGAGGAGGAATTTGGGATTGTGAATCTTTTTATAACTTAATATAGAATGTCTTATTTATTTTCCAGGGGTTTGTCAAAGGAACAGATACTGGGGGCTAGATTGCCCAAGGGTTGAATTTGGCCAATTTCCCTTGTTCAGTGTATGGAACATCCTCATAGATGCGACAAAGAGAGAAAATATAGAAAATGCACATTGAAAATAACAAAATAATGAAAATAAAATGATGATGCAATAGTAATATAAATAGACTACTCTAAAAAGTTTATCATTCTGAGAAGCAGCGTTTTTCAAACTCTGCACAGTTGGCATTATTTTGAACCAAATATTTCTCTGATGTGGCAGAATGCCCTGTGCTTTGTAGGATGTTTAGCAACATTGTTGGCTTCTACCCAGTCAATTTCGGTAATCCTCCTTCAGTTGTGACAACCAGAATTGTCCAGACTTTGCCACGTGTCCCTTGGGAGACAAAATTGCCTCAGTTGAGAACCATTGCACCTCAGAATTAATAAACAAAAAAACAAACCAAACCAACCAAAACAAGCAGTTTAACACACTATGCATTATCATTTCACTATCCCAAGAACCTTAAAAATCTCATAAAGAAGATTAGTGTTGTCTCCATTTCACATATAAAGAATAGGAAAGAGGACCAATTAAGTAATAACTTCAAAGCCACATAGAGGCAGAGCAAGGATTATGAATCCAGGTCTTTTATTCCATAGCTTGTTCGATTTCCACAAATCTATTCTGCTACCTTAGTAGAAACACCCACTGGAGGGGTTCCAGAGCAGAGATGAGCACCAGTCCCTGGAGACAATGAGGACCCTGGGAGGTGAGTGGGCTATAGCTATGCCATGCACCATCACTCCCAAGCCTGAGTGTCACCTCCAGAGTTTCCAGAGGCAGAGGCCTAATTTGGGATACTTGGTGGCCATCATCTGAGCCCTCTGAACTACACATTCTCAAGCCTGAGAAGAGAATTTCCAAATCTTTCCTGACCCTTTATTTTATGGGAGACACTTAGAAGAAAGGAATTCGATCTATTTTCCTTTTCAATATATATTTGTATTGACACTGTAACTTTTAAAAGCAAAATTAATAATATCAGTGATTGATATGCTTTTAGAAATATTAAATTTATTTATTTTTTCCAACTCAGTCAGGGGTGGTTTGGGGAAGAGGGGAGGGAGGAAGAAATAGAAAGAGAAACAGAAAGAGAAACACACATAGCACAGACCAAGAGAGATCGAAAGAAAGTCAGAGATAGAAAGGCAGACAGAAAGGGACACACTTAGACACGCAGGTGGAGCCACAGACACACTATGAGTTAGGAGGGAGATGAGAGAGGGGGCCTTGGGGAGGAGGAGGCTGAGGGACAGAAAAGGGCCTTGGGGTGTAGGGTCTGTGAGGGAGCTGGTAAAGGTGGAAGATGACTGGTTACTCTCCAGGGACTTGACCAAGTAAAATACCTGATTTCTGTAATGCTGCAGGCATTATTGGTGAGCATATTGAGGATCATTTCTCTCATCCCAAGAAACACAGTGAGTCTGTACAATGTCCTGAAAAAACTCTCAGACTTATCCAAATGATAACCCCTTGAGGACACAGGACATGAAAACCCCTGTTTCCCTCTCTCTCACTTTTCTGTCCCCTTCTCTATTTCCCTCTGGCCCTGCAAATCCAAGAGCAGCTGACGTAAGTCTATGTCAGGAAAGGTGGCTACAAGCAGCTGTGCACAGCGTGGGGGGGGGGGGGCAGCTGTGAGCTCTATGTTTGGGAAGGCCTCAAAGGTTTGCTCCCCAGGGGCCATTTGGACCATTCTAGACTTCTAGATTGAGGCACACAGCACTGAGGCGGCTACTATCCAGTTTATAGCATCACAATTACAGTGGAAACCTGACTATTCTGGGAAGGGCTTTAGTGCCTGATCCACATAATATTTGATACCTCCCTCTGGATCGAAAAGTCCCAAAGTCAACGTCCAGGATCCAAATATTTTCTAACTGCCTTTTCAGCCGACAGCCGGAGTCAGCCATCAGAGGTTTAACTGGACTGTGTGCAGCTGACAGACCACAGAACGGTTAACCTTCAGGTGAGAAATTGAGTTGACATTGAACATGGAGGAAGTAGTTGTCATAGTTTATGATAAAAATAATTTCTTAGTCTTTGGCTATGGTGTTCACCCCAAGTGATCGTGCCTCCTCTCTGTCAGTGGATGCTGAAATCAAAATATTGTGTGGGAATTGTCAAGAGCACAATTGCCATTGGAGACAGAGGTTTGAGATTATATCATAACAGTGCTCTGTTCTATGAAAAAGCCACAGGTCCCAGCACCAGAAGAACCTTAACAGTTTTCTGGTCCAACTGCTTACTTTACTCAGGAGGATACCCAGCACCACAGAGGTTAAGGGACTTGTCTAAGATCATGCAACAATTCAGTGGCAGAACTCAAGCTTCCTACTCTTCATCCTGTGCTATTTTCACTTAGGGTACATGATAAATAATAATATTTTCAATAGAAATATGTGGTCTTTTTGAAAATTTTCAGTTAATAGTCAAAAGAATGTCAATGCATAGAGTGAATGGTTAATAGACAGTGAGAATTAGAGGGAGAACTAAAAAAAAAGTATCCAGCATTTAGCCTAATATGTGTGCAATCAGTATTTATTGAATGAAAGGAATGGGGTCGAATTATTAGTGCTCTTCTCGGGAGGTTCCCGTTAAAACAGCCACAGAATGATTTACTTTAGTGAAGGATACAGGGCTTGCAACTCAAAAAGTGCCATTTTGGAAAGGTTTTTTTTTTTATTAAATAATTAAAACTGATAGCAAATTCACTAAATAGTGAAATGTTAAAGATAGAGGGCGCTCAAGAGATGAACAGATGCAAACCATATGTAACTACTTAAGAAGGTATACGCTCAGCAAATGCGAAGCTCCTCTGTTGTCTCTACAGAGTGAAGCAAGTCCTGTTTCCCAAGTCTCTTTGTTTTGGATTTTTTCCCAATGTAAAAAATCCTTTTTCCATGTAAAATTCAACAGCATAGACTACAAAGCCAGATTTCATAGAAATGGTAGGTTATTTGAGGAGAATTACCCTCCCCCAGTACATTACTCTTAAATAGAACATTTCATTAAATATCGCCACTAGCAAAGTGGGGCAGGGGGCAGTGTTCCTCCTAGAAGTTGAAATAGCATTGAAAGGTTGAATGAACCAGATTTATATGCACATTTTTCAGATAACTAGATTCTCTGGGGACTAAAGAGTGGTAAAGGTTTAATATGATCTCAATGAATCTCTCAGGTCTCCTTGTATTTCATTGTTGTATTTCATTGTATTCTGACCATGAATCATGTGAAAGTTCATCAGATCAACTCATTTCTCAGCTGTTTGTGTCTTAAGACCTTCCCTCTTGTTTGGCAAATCTGATGTGATGATCTGTCTGTGGTTCCAGGTCACCTGAGCATTTAGGCTGCTGTTCTGTTTACAGCTCCCAAAATGTCTTCTTTTCCCAGAGGCTACATCATCCTGGCTTTTTGATGTATTGGAAGGACGGAGGTATTGTAAAACAGCTCTTTGAGCATCTCTATTTCGGGCTATAAATTGCTAAGTGAACATAAAAGGCCAAGGATTCCCCTTTACAATTGCTCCCTGTATTAGCACAAGCCAAAATAATGCTTGCCAGGGTCACTTTTGCCTAGTCTTGATGAATAACAATTTCAATCCAATAAACCTAATATGCAAAAAAAGAAGTTTTTTAAGGTTGTTCAGAAGAAACTAAATTAGCTGTTATATTTAACATTTAATTTACTGATAAAAAAAATCAAAGATTCCCATGGAATATTTTATATTTTGGCAATATATACTTCAAAGATTCCTATGTTAAATGATTCTAAAAGAACACATGTTAAAGCATATGAATGTTCTAGATTTTTAAAAGCCATACCTTTTGTCCACATAGCACACAAACTAAACATTACCAAGACTTTACCATGCATTATACCATCTAAGCTCATTACCTTTAGAGAAAGGTGTGATTATATGTATATTAAAAGTAAGAAGGGGCGCCTGGGTGGCTCAGTCGTTAAGCGTCTGCCTTCGACTCAGGTCATGATCCCAGGGTCCTGGAATCGAGCCCCTCATTGGGCTCCCTGCCCAGCGGAAGCCTGCTTCTCCCTCTCCTGCTCTCCCTGCTTGTGTTCCCTCTCTAGCTGTCTCTGTCAAATAAATAAATAAAATCTTAAAAAAAAAAAATAAAAGTAAGAAATGTACCTCAGAAAGATAAGGGGCTGGTCTCAAGACATATAGCTAGGAAGGAACAGCATAATTCAAGCACTTCAGGACAGTAAAACTATTCAAAAATATATTTTCTAGTATGTTGTCTGCTAAATCCTGGATCCCTCAGGAAATATCTAATGCTTTTTGGGTTCAAATTAGAAGGAAAAGACCTACTTATCAAATTATATGGGGCTGGAAAATATATATTTTTGTGAAAATTGTATTTATGAATTTGTAGACTGAAATCAGAAGATAAACTTGAAAGTAATGTATCTCTTTGCCATTTAATTGGATTGCTTGTAAACCATCCCAGGAGAATCAATTTAAGATCTAAAAAAAAAAAAATACAAAACTTATGCACTTTTTTTGTGTTAGCTGTCTCATTGCTTAACAAATCTACTGAACTAAAATTCTTTGTTCTACTGTAAAACTATTGGCCTGTGGAGAAGGATTATTGGTTACTAAACTGGAATCTGTTAAGAAAAAGTCTTTGTTGAATCTTCCCAAAGCTGATCTTTAGGTTACTTGATCTTTATATTGTTTCTAACGCTTGATATTTATTTAGATAAGGTCCCCAAGTAAGTAAAATGTCATGTTTCCTCCCCTTAATTCCCAAACTTTAGACTTTACTCGATATTAAAGTAGAAGTTCAAAAAGTACTGAATGCAATTAGAGCATTGTTTTATAGATCAAGTTGGATACATATTTAAGGATTATGGTCATAAAGTATTAATTTATTAGTCAGTCCTCTGTCTGCAACTATCATCTACACTGTTCCATCTTTTTGCTACCGTCATTTTCTCAAATCTTCACCATCTGACAGGCATTTTTGTTCTCCATGTACCCCTCCTCTGTACTTGTCCTTAGTCTACAGCAGTGATTCTCAAATATTAGCAAGTTTCAGAACTTGAAGATTTGATAAAACACAGGTTGCTTGGCTCCACCTCTAGAATTTCTAATTCAGTAGGTCTGGAAAAGGCCCAAGAATTTGCATTTGGAGTTGGTTCCCTGATAATGCTGATGCTGCAGATCCAGGGCCCACATTTTTGTGACCACATATTCTATGGCTTTCTGGTTATTTCCATTTCTTCAGTTTGCCTTTTGGTGCACTGGAAAGACATTTCAGTTCCAATTATCCAAGGTTCATTGGAAAAACATCTCAGTTTCAATTATCCAAGGTAACAGAATTTTCATTCATCTGTTTGCCTCCAAGCAACCTCACGATCTAGTAGAGCCATAATGGCTGTTCACAGAGAAAAGAGATTCTCCCATAGGCCATACTTAATGTAAACTGCTTCCTACCAAGGCTTGTCCCCTGCCTTCTGGGACCGAGAAAGATGTAAAAGAACAGCTTGTCCTTCTTTTTAAAACAGTCTCTAAACAGAATCAGGTGATATAGCCAGGGATGTATAGGATCTTTGGTGCCTTATGTGACTTTTACCTTTATATATTCAGAAGTATGTGATAAATTATTTCTTGTTTCCACTACGGCCAGACAAGGTGTTGTGAGGGCAGAAAGCTGTTGGAATTACTGGAGTGCTTCCTCCTATTGCTCACACTCATAGTAATTCACCTTCTGGAAATAAAATGATAATTTTAATCCATTAGGTTACTCATTAAAGAAGTGGAAAAAAAGAAGAAGATTTAAATCAGGCTTGGATTGATATTTGTGGATCTGGAGTTAGTCTTAATGTAATATCTAAAACTCTAGCTGCTTTTTCTTTGGTTATAGCAAGTCTTATTGATTTTTTATTGAAAAGATTCTTGGCTTCTGATTTTTATGTTCTTTCTCTTGAATTGTATAAAAGCAGAGTTTCTATAAAAGGGTATTTTATTTTACTCTACTATCTGAACATCAATCATATGCCAGAGAAAAGAGTCAATGTTTAAAAGACATGGCTCCTGCCCTTGGAAACCTATATAAAATGTAGACATGGCAGAGCAACATTAGACATTTTTCTACATAATTAGAGCTACCTAGGGAAAGTGTATCTCATCACACATCTATAGAAGATTCTTTGGCTGAGGCCCTTTCATAAGGGATTAACCTTCAGATGCATTTTCCTTCCTCCCACCAGATGTGTGTTTCTCTTACAAGCACTCCCAAATAATTCAATATTTTATATAGTGAAATAATTTCATTGGAGTAGAGAATCCTTTTTCTGTCCCAAGGATTTATTTTTCTATGAAACACTTAGTCACAGGAGGTCAATATTTGTGTGTTTCTGTGGATGGTCAGAGTACTGTAAAAGAGGCAATGGGGACCATAATGCAGGACAGGCAGCAGTGCTGGTAAAAATAAATAAATGAAAATATAGACAAAATAATTCCATCTTCCAGCCCTTGCATTTGCTAAACTGTCAGCTGTATTCACCATATACTGGTCTTGAGCTCATTAATCTTTAAACACATTAATTATCACTATTTTGACTGGCTCTGTGGGATATTTACATGCTGTAAACAGTTCTGGTATTCTTTACAAACACATGCTGTGAAGGACCCCTTGGGTTCTAAGTTGCTTTACCTTACCAAACATTTGTTCTTTTGTAAACCAAGAGCATGACCAGTTTCCTTATACCGCTCTCTTGTGTATGACAAAAATAAAGATATATACCAATGGGGAAGATAAATTAAAGTGTCTTTCCTCCATTCAGCATCATTATACAATAATAGGTGAACTATGGGCCTTTTTTGCATACCATCAAGAGAGTCTTATTATCTCTCTGGAAGGAACCCCTTCAGACTTACTTATTTCTCTAATTAATATTGAATCTGCAAGGCAAAAGTCTACTTTTTGTCACCAATGCAGCCAATTTAGTCCTCAGCATACTAAAAACCAATTCTACCACCTCGGGCCACACTGAGGAGGTTTCTTCCATCTCCAGCTCACAATGTATACTTATGGGCAAGCAGCCTAAAAGGAGAAGTGCAAGGGGATGCTAACATGGTCCATATTTGTTAACGGGAACCTCCTCTGCTGAATGAGGGAAGCTTAATCCCATGGAAGTATGGTTTCAATTTTTCATTGAAATTACAATCAAACAAGTTGCCAGCACACATTTTTCTTTGTCAGATGTTTCCCTTATGGTAGATTTGGAGTACTCTTGGGCCAGCTTATAAACCTAATTCTCTGCCAGTGTTGCTACAGACTCTTCTCTTTGTTTTCAAATTAATTTTGCCTTTTTCTCCAAGAGGTGGATACATTTGATATACAGTAGTACCTGACAAAAAAATGTCTCTTCAACACTGACTTTTTGTAGGACTCTGATGGAAAGGATGACACATTACTGGCTCTTCCTTTGCTCTCTGTAGGGAACTCTGTATGATAAAAATTACAAGAGCCAAGGGCCTGCAATTTCCTGATTTTCTAGCACTTATTAAAATTGTATTTATCAAGGTTGATTCTTGGCTGCTGATTGAACTGGCTCTCATGGAAGGAATGGCTTTTAGAGCTCTGCTTTGGGAGCAGGGGATCCTATGCACACTATTGGACAAAGTAGTCTTGGGAATGACCGTACTGTTTTCAGACTCATGAAACCACAAGCTTCTCAGGAGAGCTGAACCCAAGTTGGAAATCTTCCACCTCCTTTTCTTTGAGCAGGCAGTTTCAGAGGGAAAAAGCAAAGGATAATAAAGACCAGTGTTTTTTTGATCTCTGGTCCTAGAACTGTGTCCCTAATGGGTGAGAATCTACATCAAAGAAACTAGAATAAAACTGGGAATTTAACATGTTTTTGTTTTCAGCCCATCTCCAGGCAAAGGTGTGGTGGAGTTGATTTGGCCTAGAGTTCTGGCCATGTGAATCTTTTGGCAACTGCCAAATATTACCATCTGGACCAAATCATTTTTTTTTTCTCTATCTTTGCAGGTGTTATTTTCTAAGGTGACTGCTTCTGCTTTAACTGGGGAGAAAGTGGGTCCTAAAAACAGAGATAGTGTAACTACTATTAATGCTATGTCTTACTGGAGGAGGATTGTTCTCATAAGTACTTAATACCACATATAAAAAAGACCCATCAGAAGAGAAAGAAATGAGGTATAAGTTAACATGATTTTATGAAGGGAGAACTAGAAAGGGAGCAAAGTCTGGGCTCTACTCCTGAAATAATGTCTCAGGCGAGCTCAGTCTGGGCTCTGTTCCTGAAATAGTGTGTGACTGAAGTAAGGCATCTTTGGAGGTCCATATTCCTTCTCACATATAATTATACCTCACCAGCATCATAACACCATTAAATCTTAGGAATGGAAGGGATCTTGGGTGTTAATATCTCTACCTATTTTAGTGTTGTTTTGTAAATCAAATGAATGTTAAAGCCGCCTTTTGAATTTATTTTTCTTCCAGTGTTACAAAGAACTTGCTATATAGAAAATATTGGGAGATGGACAGAAAAAGCTAAGATGAAAAAGATGTGATGCACTCCTTCAAAGAAACTCACCATCTTATAGGAAACATTCATTCTTTCTTTCATCCAAGTATTCAGCATTTATTTCACACTCTGTGAAAGATGTTGGGAATAAAGAGATGAAAAAGCATAATTTTTGCCTGTCTTCAAGGATCTTTTTTACTGAAGAGATAGATAAGTAGTTTAAAACTGATAAATGTGTGGTGAGTGGAAAGCCCTGAGAACTATGGTGGGTTGGGTGTCAGGGGAGGTTTCTCAGAGGGAATGACTTTTAGTTTGAGTTCTCTACATAAATAATTAAAGGGGTGAATGAAAGTGTGATGTGTATGGTCTGAGGACTGAGAATGAGGGATAGATGGCAGATGGCATTCAGTAAGAAATGATTTTAACAGACCTGAGCACCATATTTTGGGCACCATATCTTGGGCACCATATCACCTCAGTATCAACAGAAGACTTTTTCTTAGTATTAACTGAATATTCAGTTTCTCTTGCATATTTGTGGAGAATTTTTGTCAGGGGCTTGTTCAAAGGTTAGCCCTCATAGAGGCAAACCGTAAGAGATTCTTAACTATAGAGAACAAACTGAGGGTTGCTGGAGGGGTGGTGGGTGGGTGGATGGACTAAATGGGTGATAGGTATTAAGGAGGACACTTGTTGTGATGAGCACTGGGTGTTATATGTAAGTGAAGAATCACTAAATTCTACTCCTGAAGCCCATACCACACTATATGTTAACTAACTTGAATTTAAAGAAAAAAAATCTTTGGAGAAAAAAAATAAATTATGAATGAGTGTTGAATTTTCATGAAAAAAAAAAGTCAACCGTCTTAGAAATAAGTCAGACAGAAAAAGACAAATGTGATTTCACTTATATGTAGAGTCTAAAAAAACAAAACAAAACAAAAACAAAAACAAAAAACAAGAAGGAAAAAAGAAAAGAAAACGTGCAAATTCAACCCAAAGAAGGGCTTGGCCCTATGCAGAGGCCTCCTTCTGCACATGACTTAGTGGATTGACTGTCCCCAGGGCCATCTCAGGAAGACCTGAGGGTGGTGGGGCCATCTGAGAAGAGAGAAGGTCACTGTGTCACCCCAGAGCGTAGAGTTACCCTCTTCCAGGAACACTTGTATTGAATGGGGAAAAACTGGCTCCACTGAAAATCCATAAAATTTTAAGAACTTGCCAAAGCAAAAGAAAACAAAAGCTTTCTCTGTTGGTCTCTCTCTGAGTCTCTAAAATACTAAACAGAAAGAGTACTACTACTCTATCCTCTACCACCACCACCACCACCATCACTATTACCATTACCACCATGTCACTACAATAACTACCACTAAAATATTACCATTGCCACCAACAACCACTACCACTGTTACTACTACTACCAACACCACGGCCATCACTGTGACTTTAACCACCACCATCATCACTACCACCCCCACCACCATCACTCCTACCATCACTCCCATTCTCATTCCTGAAGTAATTATGCTAGACCTTCTCAGACATCTTAATGGCCATCTATGCCCCAGGTCATAGTTCTTGCTTGCGTTAAATGGGTATTATTGATAGCCATTGTAATGTCAATTAAAGGGACATTTTAATAAAGGCCTTTTTTTTCACAATGGCTAAAGAGGATTCTTCAGGCTCACAGAGGAAAACCGAATTTTAAACATATTCTTCCCTAAAGGAATAATGACACATACTGCTGTCCTTTATTTAAGGTATATTCAATCCACATGGATCCTCAAGATGTAGAGAGCTATTTGAAATGTATTCCCTGGAAGAGTAGAGAAGATAGGATGGCATATTACTACTCACCTATGATGATATCTCATATTACTCCAGTACTTAATTTTATTCTAGAAGCTTCTTCTTTCTAACAACTTTGCAGTTGAGGCTGAGAATAGGAGTAAGTCTTCTTCTAAGAAGGTAAGAGATCCATGGTTAAAAGTGTCTCATTGTTTCTGTCAATTGTTATATATTAAGGGATTACAGAATCAACTGGAGTCAAAAGAAGTGTGCCCTGAACAGAGTTGATGATGGAGGGAAAATAAGAAATGGTTGGGGGTAGTGATTTTCCAAACATGTTTATGTGGTTAAATTCCAGGCAGTTGTATTTTAAGTTAAATTTGGAGCATTTTTTTTCCAAGAAAAACATGAGAAAAATAATTATACAATTTGTATGCAATATAAAGATAATAATCACAAGCATCTATGGAGGAAAAACTACTGAACTAGCATAATAATTATTTTCAACTTTTTAAGATTTGTTTGCAATTTCTTCAGTTGTTTTATCATCTATTAGCACTCTTTCAAGTCACACAATAAAGATCTCTTAAGACAAGTATGTCACACTACTGAATGAATGCTAGTTCTTGAAGACACCATGAAGACCATGCCACAGTACCTGCCTTGGAGTTTGTCACCTACCGAAAACAATAGTAAGCAAGTAGTGCCATTATAGAGAGATTATGCTACAGTAAATGTAGGACTTGGTTCAATTAAAGCACCTGAGGTAGGTATCTAAATCAAGTTTGGCATCATAAAGGGCATAGTCAGAAAAGGAGGCCAAGATTAAATATCATCTATTCTGTCACTTGAAAGATGGGAAGGATTTTACTGGAGCAAGGAAGGTGGAAAGATAAGGAAGGAGGAAGGGATATTTTAGGCAAAAGAAATAGTGTGTGAAAAGACAAAGGACTATAAAATAAAGTACAGTTTGTACTAGGAATTGCTAAAGAGATCAGTATAGTGGAGATATCATAGCAGATAAATAGTAGGCTATAACTGTATATGAAAAAAATATCTGAGGAAAATTAAACTTTGAGGAAATTCTATTTGTTAGAAGTGTTTTTCCCACTGTGAACTGAAAAAGAACATTGCTTTTTGACCATTTGGATTCAGTTAACTGGTGAAACACCAGTATTTCATGGGAGCATACATAACTGGGTCAACTAGTCATACTGGCCATACTGGCCAACTACCCAGTATGGCCACATCTGGTTTTAAGATAAGGTCTAATTTGGGATTAAATCCATGTCTACCCTGAGATTTGGACTGAAGGCAGAGTTAGAAGGAAGTTGCAGTAAAGATGGGAGAGTGACAGTGGAGTTGTAAACATATTTTAGGTGTATGTGTGTGTGCATGTGTGTGCATGTGTGTGTTCCCTATTATGCCTTTTACTGTCTTAGGATTCAGGTCTGTTAAGCACATGCAAAATGAAAGACAGATATTCCTAATGAGTTTCTAGGATCTATTAGAAGGTAATGACAGAATTCTAGTCTTGTATATATTTTATTCTTGCTATAACTACAAAAGCATGGAAAGGGAGGCAATATTAGTGGTAGAAAACAAATACAGAACTAATCAGCTCTGACAGTCCAATTTTATTTTATTTTTATTTATTTTTTTTTAAAGATTTTATTTATTTATTCCTAAGAGACAGAGACAGAGAGAGAGGCAGAGGGAGAAGCAGGCTCCTCACTGAGCAGGGAGCCCGATGTGGGGCTCAATCCCAGGACCTTGGGATCATGACGTGAGCCGAAGGCAGACGCTTAACCATCTGAGCCACCCAGGCGCCCAGTCCAATTTTAAATAACACATTTTCAGATATTAGACACTAAATCACCATACTTCCATTCATCCTAAAGGGAACTATAACTTTCCTGACAGAATGAGGATATAAAATTCTTTGTAAAAAATAATGTTTTTCTTTCAAAAAATTTTCCTAGCTTTCTTAAAAATAGTAAATATTTTCTTATTTAGTTGAATTGTAATTTCTTTTTGTTTATTTTATTATTTTTAAAGCTATCTTGCATGATAGAGCCAAGATTTTTAGAACATATTTAACTGCCAGAGCGAATGGCTCAGAAGCCCAAGTATCAGCTTCAGCACACATAAATTCTCTGGGACAACATCTTCAAATCCCAGCAGTTTTCTTTTCAGATTGCCAAAATAAGGTCAAGGAAACCATAAAATTTCTCTGTTACTGTACACACACACACACACAGACACATATTCCCTTTCCTGATTTTTCATTGTGAGATGATCTTACAATGTACACTGAAGCATACTATTTTTGAGGTCAGTATTGGTAATACACACTATATTCAAGGGCCAGAAAAGTTAATAAGCTTTTGCTATAAGAAGCCAAAGGATAACAATTTTGGGCTCAAAAGGAAAGTTGTTACTGATTTTATTGAAGCTTTTCTTATACTATAAAATAAAATGCGTAAATGCAAATTCAAATAGGACAGCCTTTAAAAATATGCATTGGAAGCATGGCAATCACTTTGAAAAGTCAGTTGGTTCTTTCCTCTTGACATGTAAACTAAAATACTCTATCAGTTATTTTTTTTTCTTTTTTAAAAAAAGATATTATTTATTCATTTGAGAGAGAGAGAGACAGAGGATGAGCAGGGGGAGGGGCAGACAGAGAGGGAGAAGCTGACTCCCTGTTCAGCAGGGAGCCTGACACAGGGCTCTATTCCAGGACCCCAGGATCATGACCTGAGCCCAAGTGAGATGCTTAACTGACTGAGCCACCCAGATGCCCCTAGAATTAAAAATATCTTTAACTCCAATAATCTCACTCCTAGAAATCCATCCTAGAGTGATTAAAGCCCTAGTCAAAGGCTTTATGCACATGTTTATTAAAGAAGTGTCCATAGCGGAAATAAGTAACCATAAACAAACGACTATCAATATGAGAGTGGCTGAATAAACTATATACACCCACAATATTGAATATCATATAGACATTAAAAAGAAAAAAAAATAAAGTTATATCATTTGATACAGATCAATTTCTTCCTTTTTTCTTTTTTTATTATTAACATATAATATATTATTTGTTTTAGGGATACAGGTCTGTGATTCATCATTCTTACATAATACACAGCACTCACCACAACACATACCCTTCCCAATGTCCATCACCCAGCCATTCCATACCCCCCACCCCACCCCACTCCAGCAAACCGCAGTTTGTTTCCTGAGATTAAGAGTTTCTTATGGTTTGTCTCCCTCTCTGATTTCTTCTTGTTTCATTTTTTCCTCCCTTCCCATATGATCCTCTGCCTTGTTTCTCAAATTCCACATATCAGTGAGATCATATGATACTTGTATTACTCTGATTAACTTATTTTGCTTAGCATAATACACTCTAGTTCTATCCATGTCGTTGCAAATGGCAAGATTTCATTTTTTGATGGCTGCATAATATTCCATTGTATATATATATACCACTTTTTCTTTATCCATTCATCTGTTGATGGACATCTAGGCCCTTTCCATAGTTTGGCTATTTTGGTTGCTGCTATAAACATTGGGGTGCACGTGCCCCTTCCTATCACTACATTTGTATCTTTCGGGTAAATACCCAGTAGTGCAATTGCTGGGTCATAGGGTAGCTCTATTTTCAACTTTTTGAGGAACCTCCATACTGTTTTCCAGAGTGGCTACACCAGCTTGCATTCCCACCAACAGTGTAGGAGGTTCCCCTTTCTCGGCATCCTCACCAACATCTGTCGTTTCCTGACTTGTTAATTTTAGCCATTCAGACTGGTGTGAGGTCTTATCTCACTGAGGTTTTGATTTGG